AAGCAAGAGAAAATTTTGAGCAAATAATGTCTTTGTTTGTGGATTTAACAATGTTATGAAGAACTTTTAGGTTTGATTGTTGGGAGAAGGAATCCTGATGTATTTGCACATTGTAGGTAAGAAGAGTGACAAAGCTGAGGAGTCTACAGAAGCCGAACCAATGGATGCGACAACAAATGGTGCTGAGTCTCAAGCATGAGCCCTTGTTTCTTGTTAGCGATCAGATTTCAATTTTGGTTATTTTCTCTCCCCACATTGTATCTGGTTGGATATTAATTTAATATAGTGTTCAGACTTTGATTCCAGCTGGGTTTTCTCTACTTTTCAAATTCCAGTTCTTGCTGTTTACTTGTGTATCTCATCGAATTTTGTTGTCGATTAACATTATATTTTAATTTATATAAAAACCTAACATAGACAATTGAGTTGAGGCTGTCAATATATCAACCAAAATTTCGAACCGAATTGTTTTTATGAATCTTTCTTGGTTTTACAACCTCTTCCTTTTTTTCTTTCAATATTTCATCAAAATGCTACTGATATCGGCAAAAGAGAATTTGTGGGTTTGGTTTATTTTATTTTATGGTTTGGTATTGCCGTGGATGGAGATGGAGGTCGAATTCGGATGCAAGGATGACACAGTTGACCTAACTCAATTTGTGGATTAGAGTTTGAAGCAACACAAATAGGTTTTATATTCTCGCTCTGTCAACCAATAGAAAGGAGAGTAGATTATAATTTTTAAATTCGGAATCTGATTCCAATAGGGTAATGATTTTCCCACTCTAATTTTATCTACTTACATTTCTTTTTTAGTTATAAAATTAGAAAATTAGTGAAATATCCATTCCTAGATATGAAACTATAAATATACCCTATACAATTTAAAGTATAGAAACACACCCAAAATAAACCCAAAAATCGACAGCTGTCGATTTTTTAAATTTAATAGCAATGTTGGATTATTGTTTTGCCCTTTGCCCAAAATAAACCCAGCTCCGAGGCTCAATTAAGATAATCGACAATTGCTCCTTCAAAATCTTGGAGCTGGTCTGTGAGAAATCGACGAGCGGCCGATTTAACTAACCTCACCGTCGGAGCCGCATCTCCAATTTTCATTGCTTTTTGGATCTCTCACTTGCTTTCTCACAGATCTTGCAGCTATTTCCATATCTCATAGCTCAATCTCTTGCATCTCAGTCACAGGCAAGGTCATTTTACAACTCAGGAGGTGGACTCGGGTCCTGATCCATGAGGCCGACTCTTTCCTCCACCAACAATGATGCGTTGCGGAGGCCTTTTCTCCGTTTGGTTTGGTCATCGAATCGAAGATCATCAACGACCGTGAGACCGAGATGTTCAGGGGCTTCGGCTTCGTCACCTTCAACAACGAGAAGACCATGAGGGACGCGATCGATGGCATAAACGGCCAGAACCTCGACGGTCGTAACATCACCTTCAATGAGGCCCAATCTCGTAGAATCGGCGGTGGTGGTAGGGGTAACGGAGGTTACAGCCGCGGAGGATATGGCGGCTTTGGCTACTAAGGTGGCAGTCATCGTGAAAGCGGTGGGGATAGCATCTCGATGACGATTCGATTTTGGCCACTTAGGTAATTTGTATTGATATTCATTTGAGTTTTGAATTGTGATTTTAATTTTTTGTTTGTTTATAATTTGGAATGATTTCAGATTCGGTTTGGTTGTGAATTTGATCTTGTGTTTTGGTTTGAGCTGTGGTTAAAAATCTGTGGTATTGGATTCGGTTTTCATATTAATTAAGGTATCCTTTTTTAGTTGAATCTGAGTATATTCGTGCTGGAGGGTTGGGTTATAGTACTTGGAATTTCTGAGTTTCCTCTTTTCATTGCTTAATTCCATCCTCCTTTTGTTTCTTTTTCTCCTTTAATATTTTCCTAGCCAATCTTTGCTTTAATTTGTTTTTGAAGTAGATTGTAGAAAAATGCAGGTGGTATTTAGAGAAAAGTAGAATAGTTGTTTGGATGTCCATTGTTTGCCTCCCCTGAATAACTCATGCACTTAAATGGGGGTTGACGCTGTAGTTATATTCTTTCATATTCCTAGCGAAGTCTCATGCTCTAACCATTGTGGGTTTGTGCATACAGCTCAAATCAAATATTAGCAAATTTGATGGCCAGAGTTGTTCACACAAGTTGCAAGAGAGCCACGACGCACCTGTGACTAAAGGTTTCACACATGACTAGAATATATACATGCATTATTGTTTTTCTATTGTTTCTTACTGTAAATTCTTTTCTGCAGTTGTATACTAGAATTTTGATGCACCAATTCTAATTCTCTTATATAAGATTCCAATACTGTGTACTATTTTTTTGTGTTTTAGCAACAAGGTCATTCTTCTCTCTTTCAGCGTTTAGGGGCAGCAAACCGAATGAGATGAAGTTTCGCTAATACTAGAGAGCTGGAGTCAGATTAGGTTTTTAGCTTAGTTGAATTAATTTTTTTTTTTTTTAATATCAAGGATTTACAACTCTTCCAAGGTTGTTTTGTGAGTTGACTGCAATTTTCATTGTAGACTTACTTTACAGCTACATTGCTGTGAAAGATGGGCTTTTTCAAAATAGAAAAAAAGAAAAACTAATTGTCATCTGCCCTGAACCATACTAAATACATTTGATTCTTTTAGTTCTCTGCTTCTTTGCCTTAAGAAGCTAGAGGCTTGTTTAATTTATGTTTACTTTTTAGTCAAGAGCAGCTCAAAAAATTTAGATTGACATTTCATGTGGTCAAGGTCTTTGGGTCCTATCTTGGATCTGTTAATGCAATAAATTTTCAATTGAGCTCTTTAGCATGTGTCAATTTCCACTGGTGCATGAACAACATTAGTCTAGAAGTAATGAAGGTAACACTTTCAATTAGTAGAAAACAGTCTCTAAAGCTTACTTTCAAAAGCTATGAAGTTGTGCTATAATGAGGTAGCTGGTTTACGAACATGGGGTTTTTGCAATTGTACACTTTTATCGTACATATTATGCAAAGGAAATGATGTAGTTGTTAACTTCCAGTAAGTGGTATGAACTGTTCATATTCTGCAACTGAGTTAATTTCTATGACATAGTATTAACAATGTACTTCGATGACATAATATGAGTATTTTACTAATTTTCTATAATAGTAACAGATTTTTCAGTAACAAAGCATGCTCCATATTTTGCTCTATATATAGCTGTGCATTTGAAATTTATGATATACAGAATGTGATTTTTACTAGGAATATAGTTCTATGACATAGTATTAACAGTGTACTTCTATGACATAATATGGGTATTTTACTAATTTTCTGTAATATTAACAGATTTTTCAGTAACAAAGCATGCTCCATATTTTGCTCTATATATAGCTGTGCACTTGAATTTTATGATATGTAGAATGTGATTTTTACTAGGAAGATAATTCTATAACATAGTATTAACAATGTACTTCTATGACATAATATGGATATTTTACTAATTTTCTATAATATAAAGAAATTTTTTAGTAAAAAAACATGCTCTATATTTTGCTCTATATATAGCTGTGCACTTGAAGTTTATGATATGCAGAATGTGATTTTAACTAAAAAGATAGTTCTATGACATAGTATTAACAGTGTACTTCTATGACATAGTATTAACAATGTA